GCAATTATAAACTCCGGGCACATAAACATTTGTTATCCACCTCCCAATATCTAATATTGTGTGCGAACAGATAAGTGGTTCAATCAGTTCATCTTCACCTTCACGGACAATGGACTGTGTTACCCATGATCTACACGTTGATGTAAGCTAATTACCACTTTACCATAATTCAACCACTCGATTCGTTCCCGGTGATGTTGATTCATCCATCTTTTCCTGATTACTCTTGGAACTGAAACAAACGTTTCATGTTATTCTATTCCTGTTCAACTGTAAGTGTTATGACCTGAGAATGAACTCACTGAAGCGTTTGATGGCAACTCGTATATTCTAACTATTTTTGATAGCACTCGTAAGAAATAACTTTTTCAGAGTAACCACAGAAACTCCCTGAATAGTTGAGTGAGGTCGATGCATTTCGACCCCTGTATTTAGGTTTCAGCCGTCTATCTATGGGGATTCGGAGTCGCATTCTGGCCGAGCGAATGTGATCGGAATCAACCTACATCCCCCCCCCCCAACATGATCACAAAGTGCTCGGTTTTCCATGACTAACACCACCACACACAACACAGTCATCTCCGCCCGCAATGACCCGAACCAAAGAGTGTGATGAACAAAGTGAGAGCAACATCCGGCCATGAAATTCGAATGTGAGTAATTTTCTTTCCCTCGCGTAAGGAATTTTTGTCCCTAGCAAACTTTACGATATAAATTGTGCTGTATTAGCCTGTAGATGAATCACTGCAAATGAGCTCATTTGCTACTTGTGTTTCTCCTAATATGCATCTGTTTAAGGGTTCTATTTCAATGTCAGAAATACGCAAGCACTCGCATCTGATTCAAAGGAATCCGTTTTATTCGAGAGAAACTCGGCCTCAATGGAATTTACTCATTGGGTTACTGACGGCTTAGGTTGACTCCACTCATGCTCATATTCTCGTCTGGGTTTGGTGACCGACTTATCGATCCATCTTGACGTGTTCGCTTCCTTACCCGACCGACAGAGGTCAAATAACTCCGGGTTTGGTCATTCATATCTATGATGCACACTCGATCAGCGATCACGAACATGACGTTCCCGAGTGGAACGGGTGTGTAAGGCAGGCGGGGGGATACCGGTCCGCCTCACCCACCCAACCCGAAACATTCATCCTCGCTCGGTAACTCGCTCAAGAAGTACCTTTGTTTGTTTACGGAGTATTTAGTTCATTCGGGCTGAGCGGGGTTTAGGCAGACCTGGTTCAATCGATGACATTTGACGGCCGAAGCACCAATAATATCGTGGGGGCTTAAATGGAGTGCGATTGGTTGGGTTCACTTAAAGTTGAAAAGGTATAGTTTAAGGGTTTTAGTTAAAATAACAGATTTTCGACATTCCATACCAAAATATTGTTAAACTGACCTTGAATGGTGAACCAATGATGTGCTGCATGTCACCGTATTTGATGTTGATGAGATATTCGCCAGGCAGGAAGGGTAGGTAAGAGAACTCATATCCGTTTGGTCGTTCAGAACAGTTCAGTTGGACTTTGCTTGGACCATCCACAGTTACCGAAAGTGCACCACTCCCGGCTTGCATGGTATCCACAAAGAATCGGTTTCTTTCACCTGAAAAAAATAAATTATATTTGCATAAAATTGCTATCACACGATGCAAATGTCCGCGGAACCAATGCCGCTGGAATCAAACCATGAAATGTCTGAGGAAATTTAGAAACAGACATCCTGAGATAAGGAAATCAGCGTTGACGAAGCTAAACAAAATGGATTCCATAGACAAATGTTCAATAATATCATTTAAAATATACGGCAACAGTTTGAAATAAATCATCCAGTGGTTTGGATGAATTTATATCCGAGTTGAAGTCTTCTAGTGATCCATATGGTATTACTTGATGCTACCGTGAGAACACTAGATTTCGTTTGATTGGAATTGAACTTTTATTCCGTATCAGTTCACTTTTGCTGCCCGTTGCAGTGATATATGTAAATACTTTCACTGCGTACAAACCGAACTGCACCGTTGCGACTGATTCAATAACAATTTCAAATAAGAAATACTGTTTGCGATCACCAAAATGTTGCATGACCTGCAAACAAACAAAATATGCATAACATGTTCTCGTGCTTATGAGAAACAATATTATTCCTCTGAAAGCCTTTGATTTTTAGTAGAGCACTTGCTTAATCTCCTCATGTACGTATATGTAACAAAATAATGTCCATAAAATGAAGATTTTAATTCCTTGTCATAGTCATGGTAACGTATTTAACAAGTTACACAAACAGTTACTTCACTGATTTGCGTTTTTAGATGCAACTTGCTTACCAACTCGTCCATGTGTCAAACCTTCACCACTGGCAGTCACCAAACCCTGGTCGTCTTGACCAACCATCACTCGGAATGGACTTCCGGGGATCGGACGTTCATCCATGAGCACGTGAACCAGATGTGGACCATTCTCCGATGGCGTGAAGCGTACGGCATGCTGATCCACTTCCACCTGGTGCACAAATGCATCTGTGTGTGCACCCGAAGGTGAAACTACATAAGCACGCAGATTTCCAGTCATACCGGTGTAGTTCACAGTGAATGCGGTTGGACGACCGATCTGTGAGCGAGAGGGATTTGTAATGAGCTGCATTTACATTTGCCAACATGCATATGTGAGTCGGCTTGAGTGCACGGACAAACATCCCGGCATGCCATTCAAAGCTCCCCAAACACTTATTTTGAACAGTTGTTGGACTAGCTAACATATGATATATGAATCCAGATTCGTGAAGCCAACGAGTAGATTCCACCATCAAAACTGAGTTTGGCTGTCTGTGAGAAAAGGGAGTAACCACGGAGTTTCAGTAATCTATTTGCTTACCGGTTTGGAATACACTCAATTTATCCTAGTAAGCCACCAGCGGTATCTTTCGCAAAGATACTTAAGTGCTGCATATAACTACACGTGAATTATCAAGCGTAGATGTAGAAATCGGAATAGTATTGAATTTAGGAATACGAGAACTTGTACTGTACTGCTCAGAACTGAATTGGCGCCAACCCGAACTGCGGACACCAATGAAATACACGAGGAATTGATAGCAGAAAATGCTTATCTTTATTAACGGGATTAGATCATGTTTTATAGAATGTAATAGTCCATATGATTGGTTGAACGAGCATCTTTCAATCACGTAACCGTTTGCACCGACGTATCATATGTGCTAACTAAGATGTCATGTTCGCCCGGTGTACCATTGGTCGAGCTTCCTGAATGGTGATTGGATGACATAAAACTGTACCTGGTCGAGCATGGATTGCGGTCACGGAAGTCTGGATCACCACAGTAGAGTAATACGATTTATAGTACTATTCATCTTCTTAGAAATGCTTTTCTAAGTGGCAAGGATTAGCGAATTGTGCGGGTGCTTAGCATATATATTTCACTTTTGCAAGCACGTGACTTTCAGTGCATCCGGTCACGGCAGAGTACCATCACTATTCGGTAAAATATGAAAAGGACGGAATTTCGTTCTTTAATTGATCGGCCATTCCATAAATGCGGAAGCAAACTACGTGTTAGTTTGGTTGGACTGTATCACTACATCACAATTATGCCTGTGACTAACATATCGATAAGACTGTTCTAGCAGTCTTAGATGGACTCGGGAAAGAGAAATTAGAATTAAGCAGATGATGAATTTCCAATATCCAGCGGGAAAATCAGATCAGGTAAAATGTTTAGTTAAACACATTGTCTGACCGGAATAACTTACCATCAGTCCACGATCTTGCACAGTTGCCACACTGAGTTGACGCATCTCTGGGCTGATGAATGTTCGTTCCATGGACTCGTTAATCACCACGCGATAGGGTGAGCCCGGTATATGCTCATCATTGAATCGGATCGAGCACTGATATTCACCGGGTTCAGTGACACGATACGAGACACCGCAAGAACCGTCTTTGCGATCCTGACCATAAAATTCATCAATGAGACCATTAATGGAAATTAAATTAGATGCTTGAGTTTTCACAGGTTAAACATTATCACGTTTTTGTACGCCATTGGTTTCCTTTGTCAGGTATTGTCTGGTTACACAGTATAGGAATCATACAAAGAGGTTTTATGCGGTTTGCCAGAACAAACATTGTGAATACCAGCTTTACACATGCGCTATCTATGGTGCACCGTTTGATCTTACGATACAGTATTGTATTAATGAGATGTTAGGCCAAACCTAACCGAGTCTTGAAAATGGGTTCTGCAGAGTTTACAGTAACAGACGGTATATTTAACTTTCTGTATAAAACAAGGGTACCTACGTTGCACAACGCTAAAACGTGTTGAATTATTCAAGTTTGATGAATAGCATCGACAGCGTATATTAAATCTATCACAAGGAACAAACTAGTATTCTGCTCACAAAACGACTGGTCGATGGGATTATTCAACTCTGAACCTGGTATAGCGTAACCATTTGGAGTCGAAATGATCCTCTGCTAATCCGTTCTAACAGACCTGCCTGAGTTCGGAATCTAAAAAGAATGCGGTAATGGTGATCTCTAGTTGATTATTGTGAATGAGTTTGAACAGTGGGATCCAGTTAGCAGTAGCAAATGGCACGTTTTCAACCTCAACTATTTGTGCGTTAAGATGGAGGCATGTATACCCCAACGTGTCTTTAAAAATTCAAAATATCCAGCAACAAAAAAATGATTTGACTATTTATTGGACGAAGAGATATAATGACCTCATCAACAACGGATTTCATTAGAGAAAACTGTTCGACAAATTTTGGCCGCAATAATTATCAGAATTTTATAAAAGTTGGATTGCTCAGGTGCCACTAATTTCTTTATGAATTTGCACTGGGGTCAACACATGCATTCGGAAACCGGGAATAAAGTTAACAAATGTAGTGCGTGCTACAATCCCATCTGAAGAGTTCTGTAATAGGCTTACTTCAAAGTCTATTTCGGCTTTGCTCGGTCCTTCAATGGCAATGGATAGACCACCGGCACCAGCTTCTCGGGTGTAAATGCTGAAGTCATTTGGAGAGTATGTCAAACCTTGTTGCAATCCCGGCCCGGCAGCGTGCACTTTGTGCGCTCCACCATCTGTGATGGCACCAACTGTGAATTGGAATGGGCTTCCTGTTCAATGAAAACAATAGCCAAGCAGAGGGATTAAGATTATTCAGCGAATCATCTTGGGAACGAGAGAGAGTGAAAACATTGTTCCTTGAAATTAAATACTCGAATTCACAATCTGGGTCAAACTTTGATTGCCTATGCTCCTAAGCCGCAAATAAGAAGGTATTCTATCTCACCTGGACATGATCGCGAAAATAAGGAGTATGACAATCCAACGATTCAATAGAGGCGACTGGATCAAACATTCAAATTATCTCCAATTTTTTTTAGTTTTTTTTCGGGGAAAACTATACAAAGTGGACTAATGTGAATTAATTCTTCATAGAAAAAATCACATTCTTCTATGAAACAAGATGAAAAACAGCTCCTTTTTTGCCCGATACAATGCAACGCTTTTATAACTGAGGGCTCTGAGCAATTTGGCAGTCGAAATTGCTTGGCTGAGATTGCCAGGTTGTCGGAAAATTGATCATAGGTTAGTGCATTACAAAGATTACTGTTTCACAGGTTCACATTCACATGCTCCCCCCGATTACTTGCATCAACATTTGCGGTCCTGACCTCAACAGTGTGGTCCCAACAGTTTTTCTCATGCGCTTTCTGAATTTATGATTCTCCTGACTGGATTGGCATCTGTCAGTTCCTGGCATCTGTTTCCGGCCTGATGACGCGTTCTCGCCCGACCGGTTCACTTCAACCGTGAATCTTGTGCGGGCTAGGGGAACAAAACAGCTCTAAATGGTTTGCCTATACTAGCTCCCGCGCTAAAAGAAAAACGTTTCAACACCAACGTTTGCCCTCAAATCCCTCTTCTTATCGTTGCTTCATGAAAGCCCATGAGGTCCGGGTTCGATCCTCAGTTGGGTTGATGGATTCACACAGTTGATGGGCCCTATTCCGATTCAAACAACTGACCAGCGCTTCCTAGATTTTCAATTCACGCCTAATCTAATCTGTACACGAGGAAATTCAGTATATAATCGAATCCAACCCCACTTCACACGAAGTAACAAATTGGTTCGTTCTGAGTCGAAAAAACTCGCCAGCTGTACTTTCGGTGATAGTTCATGATTATCATTGCTTGTGCTCTGAGGGTTTGTCTATTCGATTTCTCGTTCACTTCTATTTTTTGAGAGACTCGACCGTAGGCGTTCGGTCACTCTTACCAGATAACTGTAAATAAGTTTCAACGGAGTATTCAAATCCTCTTTGTTCCAGAACTGCTAGATCGTGGAACTCTCTTGTCGGTTATGGCAACTTGTGTTTTGTATACATGTTCCCAAATCCCCACTGCCCAGTAGTCTCCATGGCTGTGAGATTTATTCCTTACTGTGCAACACGCTTGTCGAACTGTGAGACGGATGTCAGACCACATCAGAGACAGCATTCCAGCCGGTTGAATCAAGGAGTAACGTGAACCATAGCAATGGCTAGGTCTAATCATACCATCAAGACACACGGTTTTCTGTTATCTCTATCTGAATAAAGACAGTTCATTGCGCCAGGCTAATTTCCAAATTCTATTAACAACCGGGAAAATTGTAGTCTACATCAACAAGTTCTTCATCATGTTTATAAACTGGCTGTATCAGTCTGCCATAGACAGGCACTCGCACTAGGGTATCCGTAATGATAGTAGTAGTAGTACGCACGGAATTCAGAGTACAAACCACGCAATAGGAATCACCGGACACAAATCAATAATCAGTTATCACGGACTGAATCACAGGAGCACTGGACCGCAATGGCACGAGATCGCGATGGTCCAGGTGAACGAGACGCGACAGGAGTAGTAGTACGCAGTTCGTTTATTGGAAGAAATGAGGGCGATTAAATAATATGTACAAAAGAAGATTATTGCTTTTCTAGGCTTCCATCAATCGGATTGCAATACTGTTTGTATAATCTTGCTTCTGCCTGCACTATCTTGGATTGGCTGGCACGATCTGCCTATGGCGTGTAGTCAGAAGCCGTACGCGTGGCCTTGACGTCAGCATTCCAATTCGATTGGTCGCATGTGTCCGAAAACTGTGACGCACCGCTCCAGGGTAGGCGTTATCTCGTAGACCTGAATCACCACAGTATCGCAATCCCTTTCGTTGGCCCTCAGTTGCATAGGGATAGAAAACTTCCAATCATTGAATTTCAGGGGCGCCATCACCACAAGAACGGTTAAATGATAACACCAAGAGTAGAGTACGAATTGTGAGCAGTCGCATGTCAAGTTGAGGGATCCCATGCTGAGCGAATCGTAGCTATGTTTCCGAATCAGATTTCGGAAAGAGTCAGAGGGAAACCACCCTGAGTGAGAGTGAAGACAATAAGGATCGAACGAGCAATCGCACCTTGTGTGCACAGATTGTGGGTGCGGATACACGATCGCCGTCTCAGCCGCGTCTTTCATGCAACCCCACCCCCGTAAAAATGCATCACCGATTTATTTGTTTTTTGACCGTGACTCAGTCTGAATTATAGCAGCTTCTCATTACAGAAGAGAGGGGGAAGGTAAACAAGTGTGTGAGTTCCGATAACTTTGGTTGTGTATTGGATAATAAGCCGGAATCCTTAACGAACAATTGTTTTGATTGTGAAGACTGCTTGAAAAATGACGATAAAGCGGATGATCCAATAATCGACCTGCGTTTTGATGTTCTTGGAGAGAAACCACTACCCGGCCTTGTTGCTTGATGACCCACTCTGCGGGGTGTTGTTGTTAATGGGAATGGCTCAGTCACTGTGTGACTACCAGGTCGATCGCGGTTCTATTTCCGCTCTTCTCGCTCTTCTCTCACCCTGACACGAGGCTGTTGATTGCCATTTGGTTGGAATTATTTACCGACCACGATGCGTCACTGTCCAATCGTGACCTAAAAACATACCTGCTGCGTTGAAAGACATACCAACACTACCCGACATGTGTGCCCAATCGCCTCCGGCCAATCGATAAAGGCTTGTAAAAGCAAACTGGACGACCCACACTGTTGTAGCGGTGATGGTAAAGAGGATCGAATTAAGTCTCCTTATCAAAATATTTCTCTTTGTTTCGGTCCCTCTATAGAAATTAACAGTACCATTTCTTTCACCTTCAGAAATTGCGATTATTTAGGGAATATGTTACCTCCGGATTGGATGATTGTTTTCAATCCATTTCAAGTAAGGGGACAGTTTGGATTATCTAAGCGACAACTCTCGTGAGTTCATTATGGAAAAGATGATAAATATCAGATAGATCGAAAGCACGGTTTTTACCCTAATGAGCCGGAATACAGATTTGCGCAATCCATCCCGGATTATTTGAAAGCACTTGTACACTGTCTCTATCCTCCTCCCTTATTTGTGTAACTTGAAAATGTGTTGTGTTGAGCTTGTCGATAAAACACCGAAATCAGTCTTCTTATTAACCAGTTATTAAAATTTTCAGAAGTCTTAGTTAAATAGAGCGAATGGCCTTGCTTATCGGGGGGCTCATTTAGCAAGAATTCACAATGATGTGGATACAAAGCTGGAGTTTCTGGACAATTGATTTCGTTTAATAAGACTACTGATTGTCAGTTTTTTACTTACATGTGTTGATTTTTTTTCCTCAGAATCATTTTGTGTTCTTTCGTCTCATTGTCCACTCTTCCGTTTCTTATTTGTCCTGTCGATATTCGTTTCGTTCTGGTTATCGATTTGTTATATAATCAAGCGAGTGTTTGGTTCTCCGTCTCTGAAATGTCAATGGATATGCGGACACTCGCACACCGCCCACTCGTGTGACGTCAACAACACGAGTTCTCTTGTGACCTCCATTGTCCCTTACTGTTGGTTGACCCTTGGTTGAACCTTGTTCTGTACCGGTTCACCGTAATCATTTATCGATTATTAAACCACCTATGCACATGTGACCTGTTTTAATGGCTGTTCTAACCTAGATGCCTCACGAATCAAGGTTTGTATATTATTTATCATTTTATTAATTAAGTCGCATTACTAGTACCGTATCACGAGACAGTCCTGCTTATCATTGCATTGGAACCGGGACTTTGCGCGTAACTTATCGCCAGGTTTAGCACGGGAAGGCAGTCTTTCTAATTCCGCAGAAAAGGAATTAACAGTACTTGATTCGTGAGGTATCTAGGTTAGAACAGTCGTCAAGGCACTTCCAGATATAAGTGCATCAAATAGGAATATGACAGCGCTTGGCTGTGTCGAAATACACCTTACAATCAAGGTGCTTCGAAAGGAGACAGCTCACTGCTGTGTCAAAGAGAGAATCCCCCGTTTGTTCACTCCTATCATTATTCACCCTACCGCAACATTGGCGTTATGCAATGTTAATTCCTTTTCTGCGGAATTAGGACTGCCTTCCCATTAAACTTGGCGACAAGTGACGCGCAAAGTCCCGGTTCCAATGCAATGAAAACCAAGACTGTCTTGTGATACGGCACTAGTAATGCGAATTAATTAATGACATGATAAATGCTATGTAAATATACAAATATAAATAATATACGAAACGAACGTCAACGGGACGAATAAGAAGCGATAGAGTGGGCAATAAGACGAAAGAACACAACATGATTCTGAGGAGAAGAATCAACAGCCTGTGTCTATCGAAATGTTGCTTTTGTTCAATGTTTTCTCAACCGCATTAGTTGCAGTTATCTCACTGTGTAGATTGATGACTATTGAACAAAGACGCGAAAAACACACACTTGCTAAACCATTTTGTTCCACCCGCACCAATGTCGATACGTTTAACTCTCTGTTTTCCTACAGAGTAAGTTTCAATTGGAAGATCTTGGGCACTTCAGCTAATCAGAAGCCGGAAGTTCGATTATCTCTAAGTGTCCATCTTCATCTTTGTCTTGACATACAAGAAAATAGTGGCATCAATTTAAAATTTGTCGACCCATTATTAATGAGTTAGGAAAAAGATGAGGCCTTGTTGCTCAGTGGATGACCGAACACCATGTCTCAATAGCTGAGCGGTGAATACCACAGTCGAAACCATCGTTTACACGACTGTACGTTCTTGGATTTGGAAAATGTAGAAAATCCATTAACATTATAGAAATCATGTGTTGAGTTTGACAGTCAGTTACATTCCGTAGCCGTCAAGCGGTCAAAGTAGATGCAATATCCGAATCGTGCTTGCTTTATGCTGATTTCACTTACCGGGAATATGCGCACCCCTGTTTCTCACCGACACCGTGTGCACACCCATCTCCTGGGGCACAAATCGGATGGTATAATTCACATCATCCAGTGCGACAACATCACAACGTTGTGTGACACCAGTTGGACTGGTTACCGTGGCAACCAGATCACGAATATTGATTCCTGTGTGAGTGAAATAAATAAGACGATTTTGTGAAAGATGCACAGTGAACGGCAGATTGTTAAAATGTGGGGAACAAAACATGTCATGCATACTAAAGTTGATGGTTTTGTGTTAGACTTCGATCGACACCTCCTTGAGAAACTTGTGATAAGGTTCAATCGATTGTGGTTTCGTTATATTAGTCATTGAAACAAAGAAATAATATTTGCTAACCCACAGTGGGCTCCGAGGGACAACATTCAAAATACCCGAACTTTGCCTTCGCTCTAACCATGATATACTCTTCAAATTCAATTGGAAAATGATGAGATCTCTGATAATTGATCAAATAATAATCCCCTAAATTCCGTTAGTGAATTGAACGAAAGATAAACTCTTCTGATAAAAGCAGATGTCGTTTCCCCTTATTTAGTTTATTTTACAAGTATCACACAACCTTCGAAACACGTAGTATCGATGAAAATGTGATTTGATGATTTCATTCCCAAATTATTAGGATTATATTTATTTGAACTGACCATCCTTCAGACTTCACTTTCTTGAGTAATCCTCAGTTCATTCAATCAACCAAACACCCTGTAAGTACTATACTCCAGTTCGCTCTCCTTAGAGCTCCTCAATGGTGCATATCCACGGGCTCTGAAATCCGGACCCATTGCATAGAAGGCGTGTGTTATAACTGTACCAACCAACTCCTACCAGGGCTGAACCGAACTGCCAATTCACATTGTTCAGGCGGTATTTTCAATGATAGTCAGTCAGTTCATTATTAGCACAGTGATAACACACACCTTCCATGCAATGGGTCCCTGGTTCAAACCCCGGACGAGACGGTGGATATGCACTACTGATGAGTTCTAATAAGAGCAAATCTCGAGCTTAGTGCGTCCAAGTGTTTGGTTTAATAGACGAACTGAGGAATGTGCGTGAAGGTTAAGTCTGAAGGATGGTCCGGTCTAATCAATATCGGTTATCCCACACCTTTACTCACAAGCAACTGCGAACCACATGTGAGATCATATTTATTCAATTAAAAATTTGCGAAGGGGGTGAGATGAACCCAATCTTTTGGTTAGATTGGCATGTAGTCAATCGGTTAAACACAGTTAGGGTTAAACACAGACACTGGTTTGTGTATCCCTTCGTGTGCCAGTTTCTCGTAGACGTAAGTTATACGTGTTTTGAGCTGAAAGTGTTCAATTAATCCCTTTAGTGAACAGAGCTTAGATGTTAAAAGGTTCACTACTTCGACCCAAACCAACTTTCGCTCAGCTTCTTACTCTATACTGTATTCTTAACAATCTCATTCTGTTGTACATTTATGATTGGATGAGAAGAACAGAGACGAAACAGCCCTCCTCCACCCATACCTGGAATCTTCAGATTCAGTTCACACTGACTCCCCACATGAGTCACATCGGCCAGTTCCCGTTGACGTGTGATACGTTCCATCATGCGTAATGACGGCTCACCGCCAATCTGTACCACAAACGGACTGCCTGGTACGGTCTGATCAGCATAGCGTACATTGATAATATACGTTCCCGGTTCGGTCGGACGATAGGTGACAAGACAAGTTCCGTCGTGATTGTCATGGCACTCGATATCCGCTTTGCTTGGCCCCTCGATTGAGAGACTCAGGCTACCGTAGCCTGAAAGAGAACCATAAATGAAAGAACAAATGTTAAATTTAGCTTACAGGAAGGAAATACAAATGTGTGTGCTTGGTTAAAAAGGAAGCGAAGAAACGACAAAATCAGGGATTATGAAGCAAGATAAAAATACTCATCGAAGAGCTTGAAATCAAGCCTTCCCGTTTTGTGCAATAGAACTAAACCTACATTAAACTTGTTTTGAAAAGTTACTATATTCTCCTGTTGATGGTATACAGGAGGAACTGGTCCATTAATCTGTTCAAATAATTTTCCTTTGGATGTTCAGCAATGCGTTTGACTAATATAAAAGCATTTCGTTAGAGAGGATCAATCATGGTGGTAAACTTTCAAATTGGGGTGCTTTAAGTGACCATGGTCTCTACATGCATGCATGCATTTAACTAGTCTGTCTCATGTCATATCATTTTCGGGATAGATGGATTACTGTGATGTGAAAATGAGATAACTCGATAGCAAGACACGAATGACTAGGAGGCAGCTTCACGTATCCAGGTTAGAAATCCCGTACATTTGTTTGTTCATGGCAACGTCGATTTATATCAATCTACATGTTAATCTGCTATTCGAGACTAGATTCAAACGGTTCACAACCTAATAACTTTCACAAGGTGCAAAGTGACAGATCTCCAACACTTACTATGTGGTCAAAGTTGGTTCAATAAAACAATTTTGTCTACCATGAGCTCGTTCACAAGCTCAATAGCGCATGATTGAACCTAAAACCCTCAAAAACCCAAATCGCCATTAGTAGGATTAATTGTCTGGGAAGCAAGTGATTGAGAACGATTGAGTATAGGTCGCTGCGGTTCAGATGGGATGGCCCTGTAACCACGGCAGATCAAAACGCAATACGCGCTGTGAAGTGGTTGCGTATTGTCGACATATGAGTAAGTGTGCCGCAGCACAGCAATAAATATCTGTCAAGGAAGCGTTATCAACAAACAGTAGTTGACGTACGCTTAAATCCAGAGAAGCCATCAAATCAACGAGTAAGCTCTGTCGAAAGTACACTCTAGGTTTTTATTACCTCTTGCTCTAATCGAGAATTATTCGGTAATGTTCAACACATGACTTGAAGTAGTGCTTAATATTGTGAATACATGAACAGAAGACCTTAGTTGAGTCAAAAACAGTTAAATCAAACTATCAAAAACGATAACTGCCATTAGTCGTCGTAAACGGAAATTAAATAAACGATGTGAGTAGGGGTAGTCCAAATCAGTCTGTTATCAGTGTGAAAGAATACGCAAATTCGGATTCTTTCATGCACTACACTCATTGGTGTATGAAAGTGACTTCACAATCATAGGTTGTAAGGAACCAATGCATCTTCAATATATGTGACAACTTTAATCTCCGTTCGTCTCCCAGCCTAACCCTTGGTTCAGTTGTCTGAGGCGAGGCATAAATAAAGGTGCATAATTTCCCCTCTGGGCATGTTTAGAGCCGTACTGCGTCTGTTTCAAACAACGAAACAAATACGTCGAACATAGTCGGTTATTTAAGAGTAGGTGTCATACTGGTATGATTGTGAACCGCCCTGACAGTGAATTCTTCGGGTTGCATGGTTTTCTACGTGATTGTTAAAGTTGACATTCAAATGATCTGTTTAATTGATAGAAGGATGAGTCATCACGGTTGCACTTTCTCTCTGTGTGTGGTGACACCAACTCACTGACCGCTCGTAGTTGTGAATTAATCTGATACGATTTTATGTGGGTAATGGTTCCGAATTGAAACGAATTGCCTCGATAGATAAATACGCTGTTCAAGCTATGGTTATTCGCAAAGTCAAAAGTCTGTGACAAATGAATGCGGGATCAAAATACGATCGTTGGCCTGATACAAAGTTGTTACGCGGTATGTTCAGAAGCGTCTTTGATGCTCCGTTCAATCGAGAAGGTCGACAATAGCCCCAGATGGTACCAACTGATGGATGATGTAATTGGGCCACAGTTAGATCCCGCAACACAAAGTCAGGCAAAGCAGAAAAATAACTGCCGTTCATAAAAATATGAAGTCAAATGAACGCTTCACAAGTCGTGGATGCATTACGCTGGCTACATAGCATATGATGTGCACAAAACAGGATCACATATGTCCCACTGATCGGGCTTAACCAAATGCACTTAACGGGGTAGCACTTCATCAGAGTAAAATAGCCCTGTTTTTTATGTCCAAGAGCTGATTAATTACGGTCACTCACAGAGGACACGGTGGTTGTTTTTCTTTTGACTCAAGGGACAAACTGAATTGGTAGCTCAATTATCAAACATCTGTGGATGGTCGTCAATATCGCGTGGACCACAAGTCACGTGACACGGACTGTCTGTCGTGGAGTGATCTAAATGCTGTGCTAGCCCTCGGGGTCTCACTCATGAATTTCGAAAAGCAGCGGCACATGTCTACCCGGTCGATTCGTATATTATCTACGAAAATAAAGCAACACTGAAAGTGATGCGGCCTTTGATATGAGCTTTGGTTTAGCATTATTAGTTAATTAAAAGGCGATATAAACAAGCTGCGATACTATATTAATGCGTGCAGATGTCTTTCTGCTTGCAACTTAGAACCAGTGAAAAGAGATGGCACAAAAACATTCAGAGGGACCGGACTTCATTGACAAGGTAGATTGGATGCAACTCTCCATGGGGTTTCAATTTGGCTACAACTGTTTATTTAGGGGTTTAAGAGTAAAGAAATTTGAAAGAATACCCACTGGATTACCTCAAATAGAAATCAAAATCATGCGCACACCATATTGACTCGAAAGAAGTGATAACACAGAATCGCATGACGTACGACCGCAATGAACCGATATTGTAGCATGATTAGTGGGTGAGAGCGTAGCGGAAGTGAACACGACAAACAAATAAATTTTGTGAAGCGTCCGTTTCCCTTTATCCATGGCATCAACACAAGAAGAATTATGTGGACAGAGTTGATACAGGCCATCAACTTCGCGTGCTCTCATTCAACTTTCGAATAGAGGAACATAGAATTTGAAATGAGTCGGCTGAACAAGGTAGTGGACAAGTAAGTAGTGTGATTAATAATTGTATCTTCAAATTTACCAGATACAAACAATTGTTGAGGAAAATCAAATCTAAATAGTTACCGGTCAGTACAGTAAAAGAAATCGTCGTAATTTTCTCTGTCGATTGGTTCAATCTGACATTTTCGATTTCTGTCGTACTTCTTTGTAAATAATTCAGTTCAACATTTTCCATGGTAGATACATTTTCCTTCTCAGCGAATAAAAATTAATTTCAAATTCCACTCTTTGAAATAAACAGTTCAGATCACTAAGCTTTGACTGTCTCGGTAACTATTTTTTTCTCACCAGGTGCCACAGTTTTCGAGGGGATTGAACAATCCCGGTTGAATATTACCATCCTAAATATCGCATTGAACTAAACTGGAAAATCTTGTCACAAACGGCTTCATCGGGTGAGCACTGTATTTGGAGCTTTTAAAAACGTAATACATGGGCTCATTCAGCTCCCGGTTTGACTGATATTAGAAATGATTGTCGTAAGAATTGCCACGGTAACCCTGTTGGTATTGTATANCTTTTGCCAAATTTTAGGCTTTGCCGCCCAGTTCACTCTTTGAAGTTCAGATTTTTAATGGTTTCTCACACGGTGTACCGTCATGTTTTCCTTGTGCGTGGAACAACTACAACATCAGAACCGAGAAAACCGTTTGTTGTCTTGTTTTTCGTGTAACCGGAAGTGTGTGCGCGTGTGTGCTTACTTGCTTGACTTACCGGCATTGCGTGTGTCTACTGTGAATTGGCAATTCTGATTGGCTGTACCCTCACGTAGTCCGTTACCATAGATACGTACTCGGGAGGCGTTGCCAATCTCGCTCTCACCGACATAAATCTTGAATGGACTGTTGGCAATATGACGACCGTTGCGGAACACATTCACATAGTGCTCACCAATCTCACGTGGAGTGAACGAGATACCTGAACAGAATATGAAGAATTGGTCGATGATGGAATTGATGAGCAATAAAGAACGAGGTAGTTAATAAGTGCGAAATGGAATAATCAAGCAATGGGGAGAAATAAAATAATTGTTATGAGCTGCTTCTCGACAGTTTAGGTTGTGGGTCTTATGGGTCTATTCACTTCAAACGAAACCAGCAGACAGTTTCGAGAAGTGCTTTTATCCGATGATTAACGGAAATGTTTCAAGCTGCAATTAAACGTCTTCTCGGGATCAAATATCCATGCAGATGAAACCTGGTCGTTTTATCCAACCAACATCTGTTATCCTAGGGAACTGGACGAGGATATTTTTCGGGTTGGATGCCTATGGTCATATAATGCTCGAGGTGGTACATGATTTGATCGTTACTCACCGTGCATTGTAAAAATATCGTGAAAACTGCTAAAGGGCATTGGGAACACTGCAAAACAGTTTCATTTTTGCTATGAATCGTACGAATTGCATATTCAAACATACTTTTCATCATCGCTTGCGCTGTGATGGGATAATTTGAAGAGCAAATTGTGTGGAACTTGCGCTATCGTGTGACTACTACTGGCAGTCCGGATTTGACCTGAATCAGTTAATAACATATCGTGACCATACGTTGAGTTATCGTTCCAGTTGTTGTCATTTATAGTCCCACTACGAGCATATACGTGCTTCATTGGCATACTCCTCTGTATAAGGTCTGTTCACTAATGATTATCTAATCGAAAACTACAGATTCGTCGAATGTAGAAACTTGTGAAGGTCTTTTCATTCAAACTAGACCCCTTCAAACTTCGGACAATAAATTTGCATATCTTTAAAGACTTCATTAAAATAGTGTTAGCGCGTTCGAGATCAATTTACGACTTATCAAACTCACCTAAATGTCCGTTCGGAAGACGTTTCAATGTGGACGGCTGCTCCTGCCCAGACGGACTACGCACAGTCGCCACCAAGTTATAGATGTCTGCTTCTGTTATACGCAGTGGCATTTCGCTGGTTGTACCCACACAGACTTGGTTGAAACGTCTTGGCTCACCTGTACGCATGGAGTGACAACAGGTGACGGGAAGAGACATTTGTAAGTAAACAGAATTGTTTTTAAATGTTTTTAATCTAATGAGGAGATATAATATGACTTTATTATAACAACACGTGGCATGAGGATGATTGTGCGCTAACGAAACTAAACATTGAAATAATAACATTTAACTACTGACTAGTCAGAAAAATTAAAATTGTTTTCTGATGAAATGCGAGTGTGTGCAAGAGGCTGCGGACAAAATGGTGCGTAGTTGATGCGGAAAGAAAACTGTCCCGATTTTCATAGCTAAACTGCCCTAACCAGTAATTCAAATACTCGGACAACTGCAATTAGCCGATAGTGTAGAAAAATTGACTTTGTCTATTTCTGTATTGTCTGATCTCGTTGCACACCCACCTGCAATATGGGCAGTGAAAGGTGAGCCGGGAATATGGTTTTCNGAATTTGATCGAAATCGTGTACTCTCCGGGTACGAGAGGTAAGTAACTGACGCTGCATGTGCCATTCTTATTGTCATGGCATTGAATCTCCGCTTTAGAAGGACCCTCAACGGACAGGGATAGACCACCTTGGGAATGATGAAGGCAATATTGTGGGGCCAAGGGAAAGGAGAATGAAAATATTTGTTATGAACAAAGGGAATAACAAAATGATATGGATGACGTCCAAAAAACCACCGTTCAATGAAGCAAGGCAGAGGTGAGGGCATCCAATAAGATTGCATTCCACAGCAAAGAGCCCGCACCCACTAGGAAAGATTTAAAACTAAACTGCAACAACAACAACAACCACACCACTCGGAAGAAACACGACTACAACAAGACACACTGGTTTCTGGGTTGATAAAACCCGACTCGATTGATTTGGACGGGGGGATTTGCACATCTAGACGAAACTCCGTGATATATGGGAAACCTTCAGGCCAAACGGCCGAACGTTGTATTAGGTCTGTGGGGGGAAAACGAAAAAACAGAATGACCAGCAATACAGAACAACACTTTTGGACAATAGGGAAAGCAACATCACTGGTTCATGGAAGCGATAGTTTTAGTGTCAGAAATCCTCGAATGGAGGGAACGAAGCAGTTGTAATTAAAAGAACTAAAAAAAGCAAGTGAGTAAACGCTCCGTAGTCCTCCTACCTGCTCCCGCTTCTTTTGTGACGAGAGTGAAGTCAGCTGGTTCACCCGATCGACCGTATGACAATCCTGGTCCGTAGGCGGTCACGTTTCCTGAACCGACAGCTTCCACGTAGAAACGGAATGGGCTACCGGGGATCGGTTGACCGTTGTAAGTGATTTCTAACTCGTGCAGTCCGGGTTCGGTTGGTTGGAACTGCGCGGTCACAGTTCCATCACCATTGTCCAAAAGTGTGGGACGCATTGTACGTCCGGAAGGTGTGCGCACCAAACCTGTGAGGGAAAAACAACGATTTAAAAGTTCATTGCATGGACATGCTCAATTTCGTCAAACAAAAGACTATTTCCTTTTACTTATAAACTGCTTTAAAACTTATATTTATGCAAAGCCATTTTCTGTACGTAATGAAAGCATTTGAAAAATTGGTTGAATATGCCAAAATTTGCAACACTAAGTTACTAATACACAAAGTTTAAGGAAGAGTGAAATTTTATTATACACGAGAAGTTGCAGCTATTTCGAATATTTTTAATTTTCTTGCGGAGAGTATGCTCTAAACTTATAGGTATAAATAAGAAAAAACTTGATATAATTTGAAATACATGAAACAGATGCATTCTAACATCCGTGGTGGAGTTCAACGGATCGTAGTCGATGCTTGTCCTCGTTTTCTGTTATTGTGAATCATGCCCTTTGTGAATCCTCACTAATCTAAGTGAGCGTTTGAGAACATATATGTCTGACATTTCCGACTATGAATGAGTTATCAAACAAAACCCGGATCAATTATCGAACGTCCCGGATGTAGTTTTTGAATCCCACTTGTGGTCCTGTATACAGTCACGCACGTATATGGGCAAGCAAGTCCCTTTTGAGATCAGGGCGTCAACCTAAGCCCTACCTACCTACGTACAGAGGAATTATCGACGCAATGTTGGACTGTCCGTTGAGTACAGAGTAACCAACCCCATTAGGGCTGTTCCCGTCCGGTGTGATAATCGACCATGAACAACAGGTAAATCCCACCCAAAAAATGCGTCATCAGTCACGAGGTGCGTATTGAGTTTAGCCAAACAAGTTACCTTCGGCCTGTCAGATTACGGAGAAACAGATACATTTTCGCTCTCCATCTCTTCCGTGCACGCCCCCACTCCCAAAATTTGCATCAATCATTCTCCCTCTCGTAATCCTGTCACATAAGTAGGATGGTTTCTGTTCATCAGTTGGGGAAATCAATCCCCAAATGGAAACGATTTTGTTCCACAGATTGCTTCCGTTCTGATTCATAAAATGCCGTGAATGAGTATTTACATTCTATACGATGCTAGAGACAACATTATAAACTATTCAGTAAGGCGCTTGTCTAAAATCATCCAAATGATATCCTGAAAACACCCCCCAATGTCTGCTGTTAGAAGGTTAACTATTCACTTCCCAAAATTTTAAAGAAGCATCGGTTAATGAGTGATAAAAAGATAAATCCACTCCGATGTAAATGGCTGTAGTACAGTGTAAATAGTTGTTCTTTTCAAGTTGTTGGATGACAAGTTAAAGTTTTGACGTCATTTTCATGAATAACGGGAAGTAATAAAGTAATGAGGAAGAGGGAAGATACTAAGGGTTAAAGGAATTTGTTGAAAATGTTCGAATTTCGGTTCATCTGTGATCAAAGCATGAAATTCGTGTGTCAATGACCAATGATTAACTTGAATCACTAGACTTGAAGTGGTGAACTTCGTATCCGATAGTTGTAGCACGGATCTTCGTGGACCATATGGGACATGATACAAATGAATTTCTGTAGCTGATTTTCAAACTGTGAGGTTTTCATTAGTTCCAAAATACCTAGATGAAAGTAGTGTGTCAAAATGAATATTCTTCGAAGAATAACTATTTATCAATAAAATAAAAGTCATATTCTTCGTCTTCTTCATCATCATTCTAAACGAATTCACTTGACTGTGGAGTGAATGAAAACTAATTGAAAATCCATAAACCGTATTCGAAGTGGTCGAAAAATTTAAAACATACAATCCTCCTTACCATCCACGTGGCTGAAAGTTGGTCCAACTGGTAACTTGAAGTCCACGGGATGATAGCCCGTCACTAAAGTGGACGAATGCATGGACTGTGTGGTCACGTGTTGGATGCGTTCTTCCTGAACCTGCAGAAGGTAAAAAACAGTTAATATACTGTGATAGCGAGAGGAATTAAATTGTTTGTCTGTGGTTTGAACTGGTGATGTTATTTTAATATAGTAATGAAAGTAGAAACAATAAGTGTTGCCTTTCTCGGGTTCTGGATAGCTTATTTTGGAAAATATTATAAATTACTTCGAATCAATCTCATAATGGGAAATGTATTTAAAGCGTTATTGCTCGAATACCATCAGTACAAGGCCTCAATCGCTTATTTGCTGCAATTAAATTATGACTTCATTTGCATTCTGAAGCAATATTGCATAACCTGGTGTATGCGAACGCTATCTTGTGTGAGGGTGACCCATCTGGAACTGTAGTGCTCAGGGTCCTTTGAAACAAAAGCATGTGGCACATGTCTGCAATACACGCACTTATTCATGTTAGAGTCAGAAATAAAAAAAACCGTTTGTGTCACAGTAAATTGTCTATGATGGTCCTCCGCACCATATTTTCAGGGTATGACTTGTCAGGCAGGATTGACAATGCGGTGTTGGTTAGGTGCGACAGGACAGGAACACACTGATCCCGTGCGGGCGACTCACCATGCGCTTTTAAGACGTGTTCATTTTTGTTACAGAAAAATAGTAAATTATGAGGGAGAGCAGTTTATCATAAGGAATGTGTACATCACAAGTACTTACCACGACCTCGGGCATCAGTTCATCCGCAGTGACCGCCTATTTCATTAGGGGAAGAGAAAAGAATTACATTACGACACTGACAGGGATAGTTTTGCATGAGAGTAAAATGGATGAGGGATTTTCACAAAATGATGAATTTTTAATTAGAATGGTTTTTGCAGCTCACACGAAAAAATGGTTATTTAGCTCATAAACGCCAATCAGAAATATTGGTCAGATGAAATTTGTGAGTGAAAGTGAACGTTGCTTTGAAAAAGTGCCCACGGGCAAAAGAGCAATGGAAAGTATCACTGGAAAAGTGCGGGACAACGCAAAAGTAGACGTAGAAGACATTTTATGTGAACATAGTTTGTTCTCTTTTATTGTTTGGTTTACTTTATGGTGTTAGTCGTTAGCACGCTTACATTTCAAACCGATTCTCGGTAGTGATATAGAAAAAAATATAATAAGCTCGTATCTTCTTGGGTTAAATTCAAATTTGGCTTTATATAGCATCTGTTTTTACTCATTACGATAGCATGTCAAAGCAGTGAATGTTTGCTTATGAAAGAAACATTGATGATTGTTTTGGGTTAGCCAGAAGTGTAACAGATTTAATTCGAATTGGTAAACCATTCAGCCGACCGTTACAATTTACGGTTGTTTTATTTCCAAGGTGGCAAAGAATTTGTGAAATCTAAGTGGACTATAGTCCGGTTTAGAGACCGCGACATACAAGTTGGCCGGAAATCTGCAGCGCGATTTCTCCTCCACAAGGTGTCGAATAACGTATAAACAAAGTCACACTCATTTAAACGCTAGAAGAAGCCCAAAGTGCTAAATGCAACTTTTTATTCGACTCTCCAGCGATGAGAAAAATGTAGGTCGTGCTAAGTGAGTGCAACCTATTTCCGTTTACATCCTAAAAACAAGGGCGGAACGCTGAAATCACATTCACTTGATTTTCAACTATGCAGGACTTGTCGTTCCCGAACACAGTGTTCAGCTGCTTGTAGTTTGAACGTTTTCAGGGTGCAAAACGAAAAGACTTTCTGTTTTTCCGGCACTACTTGGAGATTGTACACCAACCAAAAAAAACAATATTTTTATGGGCAGCCTGAATACAATCACATACTCTCTGATTAAAGCGACCGTTCGGGACCAAATCTCCACCGAACCGCACTTCAACGAGGTAATCACCGCGAATAGGAGGAGTGTAGTAGATATTTACTCGACCATTACCAGCTTCGTGAATCTCAACATCCGCTTGTGCTCCCGATGGGGTCATAATGCGACAGGTCACTTGACCGATTCCGGCCTGTGAAGTGTTCACTGTGATCACACATTCCTGACCAACTGGTATGCGGCTATCATTACCACCTTGATCATGCGGAGAGAGATAGAGGGCACAAAAGATAATAAAATAAAAGCGCAAATAAATCTGTGGCATCCTTCAGCATTTTTTATGATGCTCTCTGATGAACATGAAATTCAAACACCTAAAGGTGCACAGCAAAATAGTAATAACGTTGACAAAGTATTAAACGTTAGTTTTCGTAGTTTAGGTGAGCTGAATGCATTTTCGCCTGTTCGCCGAACTTGACAATTCATTTGCAAACGTTCCCTCACCAGCTAAGGTGACATATTAGGTGCTTGTGAAGTCTCTTGTTTGCAAACTTTTATCAAACCTGAAGCTGTTAAATACGGAAATAAAATAATCCTAGACCTTACTGGTCGGTGTGTTCAAACTATCCGGACATTTTCACGTAAGCCTAACTTTAAATGTTCTCATCACTTTAGTGACCGTACTCGATGAATATGCAAACACAGGTCAAATAAAACATTATCTGTAAAACACGTGTCGGACAGTACATAGGAAACAACGTAGTACCACTGGTACTCGCACTCCGTTCCGTTTCAGAAGCAAATGAAGCGTGAACTGAAAAGCTAGGAAGCACTGTGCAGCTGTTTCGACCTGGTTGGGTCTCATCGGCTGTGCGAATCCATCGACCCAATTGTAGATCGAATCCGGGACTTCACAGGTAGAACTTACGCATGCTACCCACTCGGCCGCTGGGCAGCTGATCAGACCGTTTTCCATTTTTATTTACGCGAAATAGCACAAACCACCTTTGCGAGCTTGTTGCAGGTCGCAGACTTCGCTCATCTCAGCACTAGCCTCCTAGGTTATGATTATCTTGGAAACATTCACAACTTGACTACTTGTTTCATGTGAGTAATGGAGGATTTGATTTAATTTCAAAGGGGAATTTCGTCCCCAGTTGTGTCTATGGATTCGCACTGCTGATGAAACCCAACCAGGTCGAAACAGACGTCCAGTGCTTCCTGGCCTTTCAGTTCACGCTTCATTTGCTACGTACACGATGAATTTCTCCTTTGAAATGCGATAACTGTTGTCTTGGACCGATAAATAAAGGTTTTGTCCCACTACTTTGCTTCCGCATCAGCATCTATCGTCATCATCATCACCATCATCATACGACATTATTCAATTAAAAGAGAGAAAATGCACTCAACATGTAGATAAATAGCTCTATTTTAAGCGGTACTTCTCTGTTGCAACGTGCAGTATTGTCTCATTACACCCCAGCTATCATTCCCACTCAGGATGCACATTAACAACACGGTTTCTAGAGCAAATAGAAAACTGGCGGCTGACGAACTGGTAGATGGAAATCAAAGGACTGGGGTTAATCACAACCCAAAGCTGAGATACCAATATTCTGATAATGACAAGAGATAATATCCATTTACGAAAAATAAACCGAGTGCTGCCTGCTCTCGGATCAGAACAGGATATGGTTTCCGTGTTCCGGAAATATGTATATGAAAGATTCATTCATGAATGCAAACTGCTGAAGTGTGAACATAAATTTGTAAGCATTGGACAAACACGTTATCAGACCTCGCTGCAGACACAGCAAATTGATTGAATTAATCTTTTTTCAGAGTCCTGAATTGAATTCCTTTTTCCGCCCAAGAGTTATATTGATAAATGGAACGAAATGTGTTGAAATGTGCTGGCTCTGCCTGGTAGTTGTTTTCTGGCATCGACCTTCGGCGATGGGTTATCTTCTATGATCCACGAATGCTTTTCATTCCTTTACCTAACAGTTTAATACCAAATGTTTTAGGATGTGAAATTTGATTGCAGAGATAGTCATGATTACAGTCAAAATTCGGAAAAAGCATACCAGAAGACATAATAATAATAATAATAATAATAATAATAATAATAATAATAATAATAATGGGTCATTGAGATGAACTCGAAACTGTGTGAAGAAATTCCAATCAACGAATAAACAAGTGAAAACCTACGGTGCAGCTCCTATTCCCCAGCAACATTACTGAGATGATAGAAAAAGGTGGAATTTTTTTCTTTTGATGATCCATTGGCAATTACACCAGAAATCGCAAACATACTTCTTTACAGTTGGACTTGGATCCCGAAATGTAATTAAATAATCAAACGAAATGTAAAAGAATAAGGCTTAACTCAACCTAATCCAGAAAAAACATTATTTATAAACATGAATATTCATATATTTAAAATAGCGATCGGTTAAACTTACTCTCTATGCGACACAAATCAGCTCTTCCGGATGGGGCAACCGGTACCAGATAGGGGCTTTCGGGAATTTCTTGCCCACCGAATTTGACACGTACCGTATGACGTCCAACCACCATCGGGCGATAGTGACATGAATAGGTTCCATCACCGTGGTCCACAACTTCAAGCTGCAGTGGTTGAGCTTCAGGATCCTGATTTGATTAGTCAAATGCAGCTGCACGTCAGTCGAAAATTCTAAGCGGAGCATATCTCAGGAACAACAAAGTGGTGCAATATATAACCGAAGCAAGATGTGTATACAGTAGACAACATCAAGACAAAAAGAACTGGTAACGAACATTTGTAGGTGGACAGAGACGGGACGACAATGTAGAGATAAATACAACAGGATGACTGACTGCGGACCCACGTGTACTCACTCTGTGAATGAACAATTTCCGGTCTTATCTGAGTCACGAAATCGTTCCTAAGCAAATTCGATGACAACCGTCCCCAGGTTTCAATTTAGTAAGTCGCACTAGTGGGGAACTGCAGCTCATCTATTAAGTAGGTGGTCACGCAAAATTCCACTTCATCACTTAACCCGAAAATTTCCATAAAAAAGCAAAAGTGGGAACTGGAAGTCTGTTGCTGTAGACAGAAACCATGCCACAATAATTTGGTTAAACTCAAGTACACATAACGGTTCTATAGCTCAGATAGAACAGTAGTTGTTCGCAAGCGAGGCTCAAAAATGAAAACCAGATGTAGAGTGTGTGTGTGTGTGTCACACATTTGTCATTTGTATCCCAAGGGTTTTGGGATTTGCATGAAAAATGTCATTTCCGGAGTGAATGAACTTGAACAAATCAGGGTTCGGGGACCGTAGTGATTGCAGTTAGTAAAAATAGTGATTTGAGCAGAATAGCCCCAAAGCAGCAACTTCCAATCAATGGATGTTGGATTAGGTTGGGGTGGTTAAGGTCAACAGATTGTCCGAACGGAAACTGTGGATCATTTTGAGCTCTTCCTTATCAGATCCCGGAGGGGCTCTCTAGCAAAGATGTACAATGGAATAAGTGTTCGATTGTTCCACATGCAATTCGTATTCGCGTAAAGGGAAAGACAAAGGTTTACATATATTAACTGTTTGAAAGGCGGTTTTTATCATCCTTGTGTACAGATTTTTTGGCTACCGCAGCTTCAGGATAATTCTTTGTAAGCACAAACGAATATTTTCAAAACAGAACCACAACACATACAACACAACACAAATGAGCAAAAGGGAAGAAAGGGACAAAAACAGAAAAGAGATCCATTGATGAAAAATCCGGCTGAGTTTAAAAATGATCACTGAAAGGAGATCAAGAAACTCAAACAAAAAAATTCAGTCAGATCAAAATACTTTGAAAGAAACTGTTTTTGACACGCATTCATGTCCAGTTAATACAAACCGATAAACTTTCTAAGTTGAATATTAACATGTTTGAACTTTACAAAAAAAGGATGCTGTAAGACTGATTGGGGTTAAAATAAATTTGACAGGTACCCTGGAATAAGCAAAAAGCATTAAAAAAGATAAGTGGGAAAGCTTTTATCAGTCAAATAACATCTGGTTTGTTAAAAGCACGCTGTGTTCAAGGAAGCTTTGCTTGTCCCTATCCTGAATGATATCTTAGAATATTTTGAATAGCAAATGAATGAATCATTACGATAGTGTGTATTTGACACCTTCAGTGATTACAAATGTGCTAATTATGACGACTTAAGCAATCGATGTAACTATGATACAACCGCATCCATATTTTAGGCCAAAAATAATAAAGCCAACTGTACAAAATATTAGAATATTTACAAGACTCTCCCCAATCCGGTGAAACAAATAAGCAGTTCTATGGTTGATATAAATAATTGAAATTTTCAGAGTTAAGCAAAAGTGTAAGGATTAACCTCAAGTACATTTTAGTAGATTGATGCATCATGTATCACCTACCGAAACAGACAATTCCAAATCTCCCATGCCTGCTTCCCTTGTGTCCACATGGAACGAAGTAGGCTGAGTTGCAGGCAGTCCCAGTGGTCGAGAAGGATGAACTCCTTCGCCGGTAACACGAACCCGTTGCGGCTCATATGCCGGTAGAACGTGTTGTGTAAACGGTGATCGCGCCACATGACTTGTTCCCTGACGAACTTCAATCTGGCATGGTCCTTCCGTGGCGGGTACGTAGGTCACATCGTAGATATTCGGCTGACCAGGTCGCGGAACAACTTGAGCAGGAGTTGAACGACCGAGACGATCTACTGTAGCTACCTGTCAATTGAAAACCCAATAAATACGATTATGATGACGAAGATGACGATGTCTGTGAATGTCTTCAAAAATAGTGTTCCGTCAAGTGATTTATATGTAAAAACTTCCTTAAACGTCCTAACGCGGTGCGGGTTTTGAAATAACCGTTGATCACAACATCCGCTAAAAGATAAAAGATGGCAATAGTAATGAAACGTCGTAGCACGAAAAAGTCGTTCTAGTCTTTAACCACTGCTCCATTCTAGACTGATCTGTTACTCAATGTTCCTTAAATATCTCAATGCGAATAAGGTGCTACACGGTAGTTAATAACACCTAAACAAAACCCAGTGAAATGAATTCACAACATGCAGAGGAAGTGAAGTGATAAGGTTGATAATCCAAGTTAGTGCTCTGGATGGACGCACAGGACAGTCTCTAACCAGAGATTGCTCACACTCTGCTATGGAAACCAGTCGTTTATCTATTTGTACTGGGATGAATAATCAATCATTTCTCATATTAGACAAGCTCTGGATTGAAGGAAACCAACTATTGAGTACGGTGACCGATATTAGTGAATGTTTTAAATATATNTGCAATAGACTTTCAAGTAAATACTTCAGTCTGATGGGATGTGCCTCACAATGACAAATGCATAGGCATCGAATTAAGCCTCCGAAGACAAAGGACAGCTTACCACCTGCTTTACCTGATGTTATGGTTCCATTTGTCTATCATGAAGCTCAAAGCATACCGGTGTCAGTAGAGTAAAAAACAACAATGCAAACATCTCCAAATTGCAAGAACATACAGTAGCGAACAAGCTCGTTTGCGGTGATTCATCTAGAGGCTAATACATCACAATTTATCTCAAGTTGTTTAGTACGGGAGCAAAATCATTACAAAATGGGAAGAGAAGTAGTCAACATTCCGGCTACATGACCGGATGTTGCTCTTACTTTGGCCACCAAACATTCATTTCTTCGGGTCATTGGGGGCGGGTGGGTGAAGGACTGTGTTGTGTGTGATGTTGGTCGTGGGAGACCGAATTATTTAGAGAGCGAAGAGGGAAATGGGGGCCGGATTCGGATCGTTTCCACTGTCGCCCGAAATGCGACTCTTAATCCCCATAGATTGACGGCTGTGAACTGAATAGATGGGTCGGAACGCCTCGACCGCATTGAGTATGTGGTTTGACTCCACCAGGTATGAAACGATCAAACTGTTGATTGTCCCAAAGCATGCCTCGCAGCAAAACTGCACATTGTGTTCCTCTCATGGCCACTTTCAATTCCAAGATAAGTTGCCTATTTCTGCAGTCTCTTACTGTCTACTTGTTCACGTGTTCTTGTTGGGCAATGTATACTGGCCGGACCAGCAGACGTTTGTCGGAACGAGTCCGCAAGCACCACCTAACGCAATGTGAACGGGAAATGCCGGAAAAGTAGATGCACGGGGCAACTAACCTAGAAGAGCGTAACCTATTTAGGGGCTTAGATAGCCTAAACTCTCATCCCAACAGGACTTTTGGTCTTTTAGCAGTTGAGGTGCATTCAGATCACGAAACATTGAAATTGGTTGATAGATAAGTGTTACGGAACCAAATTTTGAGATTATCAAGGAATTCGCGATCAACAGTTACGTGCAATAAACGTATTCAGCCTCACTGAAAAATAAACGGATTTCAGAATTTCGCTTGTTAACATTTCACGGAAGCCTACTAATGTTGTGGGTGATCACTTCTTATTCAAATTCCTGATTCTCGTTAAATTTGATTACGATTAGTTCGTAACTCACATGAATGGGTGCATCTCCAGCTTGAGAGGCGTCCACAGTGAATGTTGCCGGCTGTTGCGCTCGAGCACCTCGCGGCTCCAATCCGGGACCGTAACAGCGAACACGGCTTGGATCTACTTTGTCACGAATCGGCACGGCAAACGGACTGCCTATTGAGTGCGAATAAACAAATCAAATAGGAATGACGTATAAATCGTTAACAGTTTTGCAAGGGAAGAGCTCTGAAGATGCGTGTGCGTATTCTCTCAATCCAAGATGATTGGCATACACCTAAACCCTCGTACAGTCAAAGAAAACTGATCGAAATTCGATTTAAGTTTTTGTTGGTAAAACTTGAAGAGTATTGCTTCAGTGCACCAAAGTGGAATAGTGTAATTTTGGTTACATTCACTTATAATTGCGCCTTTATGTAGGCTTCTGGCAAATTATCCACATCATAACAATTAGTTTACTATGAAAACCGACAAGATTGCCTAGTAATCCGCCATTACAAATCGACACGTGATCCAATGATGCAAAAAATCAGTAGAACAGTGGTGAGAGTTTGTGGAAGAATCACTCATCCATGATGATCAGTACTACTGATGCAGATGAAAAGTAAATCATTGATGGTCCAAATCGACTATCGATGGTGAGCAAACAAGTTTCCCGCGTGAAGTACAAGCCACAACCCACTGAAAAGCTGGATTTCGTTTAGTAACAGATTCAGAAGCACTTTGGTAGAGAAATGCACGAAAATGATTTCATTTTCTACCCACAAGATTACTGCATACCTCTTCAAAAGATAATCGGGTAAAGGAATCGAAAGTTCGCATAATGTTTCCAAAAATATCACGGCAAAACACAATACGTTTTCTTTCGCATCATGCAAATTTATGTGCTCCTTTCTCACCTATTTTCATTTCCTACGGCAGAGAGGAAAGGCATTAGATTTGTAGACCTATATTGAAGGAATTGACCAAATACATCTATTTTTATCAGTTTATCAGTGTGACAATTTGTTCAATAAACGCTTCATTATCAATATTTCAGTTGGTATTTCCGGTGCTTACACAATGACCTTCACGCAGTTATGCGGAGTAGAAGAAAACATTTGGGGAACATGTAGATGAGTTTGGTGAAACGAACTGAGTTCCATCCCAATATCAAATTGAACCTTTACACAATTAACAGATTCGTGCATAGTAATTTAAAGCCCTCAAATTACGGGACAAAAACAAAGAAAATACTTGTACGCAGAACACCTAATACTGGAACGACGTTTTCGTAAGTGGCCATGGACAAGATATACAGTAATATAATCGGAATAACAACTTACCGGGTATGTTCATGTCGTTGAACTTCACAAACACATCGTACATTCCTGCCTTGGTGGGCAAATAGTCTACGGTGCATGTTCCATCTTTGTTGTCGTGACACTGGATTTGCGCATCCGCGGGACCCTCGAGAGCCAAGCCAAGAGCACCTTGTCCAGCTCCGTCCAAGTCGACTGTGAAGCGTTGCAATTCATGTGTCATACCGCCCTCTAGGCCAGGCCCATAGGCCCGAACACGCGAAGGATCGCAGCCGGGGGCAACATTTACTGGGAAGGGACTACCGTTAACGGGGGCTCCATCATAAGTTACTTCTACGTGATGAAGACCTGTAAATGCATGAAGAAATGTTAGTATGCTCAGTAGCTCAGTTGAGTTACATTTAACCCGAACACTTTTCTTCATTANAGTTTACATCAGACACATCTGTACACACAGATAAATCAAACCAATTTTACTAACCTGGCTTCTCTGAATATGATAACCATGTATATAAACACACGTTGCTGTTACTCAGTTCGTAAGCTTCAGTGCATGACTGGTGTTTAATTTAACTTTTAATTTGC